TCCCATCTCACTGTCCCACCCCCACCTGAACAGGATCCCCTCCCAGGGTAAAACCACACCACTGTCCTGTTCCACGTACGGTAATGCAGCCCTGGGTGGGATCTCAATGTTTCTTACATGTTGCACAACTGTCTAGGTGCACCATTGTACCAACGAGGTTTCTTTTCCCTCTTTTCTCTGAAGCATGGAGACCTGACCAAAGTTGTGGATTAGAAATCCAGCTCTGGGGTGGCACATACATCTGATTAGACTGACTCTGTTCTGTGCAGAATGCTCGAGGATATAGAAAATGCACAGAACAGTTGTTGATGGTGGATGACCAGCAGACCCCAAGGAGATCCTTTTATCTCACCCCCTTGACATATGCTGAAAGTTGAGCCACAAAAAGAAGTGGGAAATGAGGAGCTTTCTGAGTTACTGCTCAGACAGAAAAGAATCTTTAATTCACATTCAAGTTCAGTCTGCATCCCTGATGTCTATACCCTCCCTGGTTCCTTACTGAGGGAAATCATTCTTTCCCCCCTTACCCAGCACTCTTGGTGCACATGGTCATCTTCTAGTTCTGGAGGTCAAGACTGTTCAGTATTCAGGCATCATCTCTTGGCCATCCAGGATTAGAGTAGCAACAGCTAGGGACTTGAGAGCTATCTCTCCTTGACTTTTCCAAAGGATGACTGCCTTCCAGCTGGGAAGGGAGTGTTCACTTTATTTGCTTGCACTTCCATTTGAACACAAGCCTTTCTTTGCAACTGTAAGTGAAATACCTCATCTTCTGGTTTGGCACTGTGGAAGCCTTCGCTCTCCCCCTGCCGGTGGATTTTGACAGGCGTGTTGAAGCACCAGTCCACTGCTCTTTCCTGCTCTTTTGGCCTTTTTGCGTTTCAGTGAGCCTTTGTTTCTAGAAAGAATGCAAGCAGATTGCTGAAAGATGTTTTCAGGGGAGGTGTCTTTATTTTGGTGATTGCTGTAATAAATACTGCATTCTTGCAGTTCTGCTGTGTCCTGCCTGAATGAGACCCAAGCCTGGATTTCTTTGCCCAAAATAATATGTGGAACTGCTAGTGTTTGTCTAGAATACACATCTTTGAAATGTGCCTGCAAGAGTGAGCTTTTGTACCTTTGCCCATGCCTGCGTCTTCTGTACAGGTGTGTGTCAGACCTGTGTAATGATGCAGCAAGCACCTCTGAGTTCTCTCATCTGTCAGTGCAGACGGCATTACAATAAAATCCCAGTGTAATAGGAATGGATGGTCCCTGAGTCAATGAACTGAGAACCAGCAGACACATGCTTCAGAATCCCTACATGTCAGGAAGAAAAATAACTGGAAAAGCAACATACAGCAATATATCTATGCTTTTTGTATCCATCTATCTATAGCTTTTTGTCTACCTAGGAAACATGTGGCTTTCTTAAAATTCTTGATTTCCAGCAGGCTCAGTGTGTGTTACAACTCGGGTCAAAATGTTGCAGAAATGGTCACATTGCATGCACACTGCTTAGGAGACAAAGCTTCCTGGCTGCATCGTCAGGGAGACCTGTGTGTTTGGAAGAGGCTTCCATTCTATAAGATGTGTGCTGTGCATTTCCATTAGAACATGATGTCTTTCTTCCTTTCTGAAGAAGAATAGAACTGAATTTTGCTTTTCTGCCCAGTTTTGAAGGATTTTTCAACTCTTCCTTATGTTTGTATGTTCTTCATATGTAAATTAATAGTTGTGACAAAGTGGAGGATAGAATGAGAGCAGGAACCAGTCTGGCCTCCTGCACAGCATTTTCTGTGTGTGGTGAGTGGGGTTATCCTCTGGGAACTGCTTCCTACTTCTGTGTGACTCTAGAGACCTGTCAAGCATCTGCATCCAATTTTCATGCTCCTCAGAGTGAGAGCAGTCCTACTGTGCCCTACCAGCCTGCTTGAGAGAGCAGACTGGTTATAACAGCATACAGGTCGCCTGCCTCCTGCCGAGCAGGTCGTGCTCTGTGTGTGTGTGTGTGTGTGTGTGTGTGTGTGCACTGCTTCCTCCATGTGTCTGTTGCAGCTATGTGCTGCTCTCCCTCTTCATCCCTGCAGTTTGTATGTATGCTGATGCTTCCCATTAGGCATCCATGGAAATGGAGCCTTTTGCCACTTCCGTGTGCTCACCAGAGCAGGACTAGCTTGCTTGACCACCCTGTAGTTGTTCTGAGTGTGTCTCTGTGCCTGGCGCTGTCTGATTGGTGGCATTACTGTCGTGACCAGTTTAATGTCTTGCTGCTTATGCAGGAGACTTGTAATTTAGCGACTCTGATTCTCTTCTAGAGAGCTTTGGCAAGTGGCTTCAGTTAAGGATGCCTGCTCTTGTGTTACTGGTTGCAGACTCTATGATCCTTTTCCCTATGCAGCAGTGCAGAGCACAGATCCCGTGACTTGAGTGCCAAACACCTTCAGCTTTGTGATATCCTCTTCACTCTCTCTTCCTACATAAGTAATTTTATATCAGATATAGGTTCAGAACAAGCACTGCAGAGTGTATTTTCAGGTCTAGTCTACTGACTGCATGCCATACAGTTCAGCTTTCTGTCATATTTCCTCCCAATATGAAGACTTCTTCTTCCTATAACCCCCTAAAATGACTTATCTGCAGAGATTTGAGATTAAATGTTTCAGTGTCTTCATTATGTTTTTTCCAGTCCAGGGCGACTGTGCCAAGGGTGGGAAACGCATTGTGCCATAGATAGCCATGCAGAGGATTAGAATGGAAAGATTATTCCTGCCGCTGACTGATGATTGTACTGTTGTAAAAATTAGTGGCTTTAAGACCATTAAGAAAAAGCACAATTGGTTTGGCTTAATTTACATTGAAGGTATTTTTCCCACCCCAGGTTGATGTTTATTTGATAGGATTCAGAAGTGTGATCATAGTCGCACCAGGATCCTGCAGTATTCCACAGATACTGTAGGAATTTGTAGTACATGGTAATAGGTAAGTTTGAACGAAGGCCACACGCTTCTCTTGGGTTGTTCTCTAGAATGCCATGTGTTCTAGGTATATTGGTGAATACCTGATGAATGATGTTACTGCTTTAGCATAAATGAGAGAGGAATGGTATATTATACATAGTGATAAAACCATCTGGTGTAATTTGCAGTCATCTGGTAGCTGTAAGAAACACATTTTTTCCTTTCTATAGGAATTAGCTTTAATCCTTTATTGAAGCAAACCTAACATGCTGAGGTAATGGGGATGTGTGCGTTTTACTTCCTTTTGGAAGGAGGGAGAAAAAAGCTTGTTAGGAGTGGGGGAACACATAGGAAACATTTTTAATGTATTATAGGTGTGTCTACAGTGACATTGTTTTACTAGATTTCCACGTAGGTGACCCCCTCCTCTAGCCAATTTTTTCTCTTCCATTTCAAACACTCCTGGCCTTCATTGTGCACTGCTGCTTCTATTTCAAGTACTAATTTTGCTAATTGGTAGATGTTCCATCAACTTGGCACCTGAGAACTTTTCCATTATCTTAAATAATGAATGATTTAAAGTGCCTTGTGTCTTAGATTGTCCCTGCCCACCAAACCTCCACTGGTAGTGCTGCACTTGCTCTCTTCAGGCAGGATTTCTTTCCAGACTGGTGGAGTAGCATCAAGGAAAGCCCAGGTTTTATTGCCAAGGATCGTAACTTTCTACTTTCAAATCCAGAAAGTGAGACTAGAAGATTCTGGGTGACGAATTGCAGAGCCATGTAACATACCACGTATCTTGTGGCCACCACTGTAGGTCCCAGGTATATATATTTTTTTAAGATTCTAAATTTGGAAGCAACATGCAACTGTATTTTTTAAATCTACTTTCCATAGTTTCATATCAAACCTATTTGCTTTCTTGTTTCCCTTTCCACTTGTAATCTGGATTTGCCGTCCGCTGGTGAGAGGGGTTAAGGACCGACTGGAGCAGACAAGGGAATGAAGATTAAGGACACTTTGTGAGGAATGTCCTTTCTCCGACTTTGTCAGGAACTGAGCTCCCTATCGTTAGGGCTCCAGTATTCCTGCCAATTTTTTCTCTGGGCAGTGCTTCAAACACTGGTGTTCCCTTTTTTCTAAAGGGGAATTTCCCTTATTACTAGTGTGAGAAAATGCATTTGTTGCCAGATCTAAGATGGCCTGACAGATTCATCTTCATAATCAGAAAATGTTAATGCACAAAGTGCTATTTTCAGTTAAGTATATAATTATAAGCATTTTAAACTTAGCTCCTCTTTGTTGTTTTCCTTTTTTGCTTGTTTTGAGCTTTTTGGTTTTTGATTAAGAAATACAAAATGTTACCACTATTTTTCAGGAGTAAATCTCCTGAGTTTTTCAGTGTAACTCTCTAGCTAGTAACTTGTATAGAAAGCTAGAGGATGTGAAAGGCTTTTAACAGCATTCATTTGAAATGCTCTGCAAAACTTGTTGACTTTGTACCTTGTCACTCTACTGCACAGACATGGTTTTATTACCCAGTAAAAGCTGAACAGGATAGCTGAAATGAGAACTGGGCTGAAAGAGTAAAAATCTAGGGTTTCAGCGTGATGGGGTTAATGTGGTAAAACCTGCCCTCTGCAGAGAGGCACCAAATGCTATTTGCTTGCTGTTCATAAGAAACATTGCAGAGTGCACAGTTTTTATTCCTGGTAGTACCAGTTTTCTCTGCTGGAAAAGCATCCCCAAAAAGGTGGGGAAGAGGCAGGAAAGGAGCTGTGCAAGCTGGCATCGCTGCCGGGAGGGCAGTTTGTGGAGGAGCGTGTGACAGAGAAGGCAGGCTGGCAAAGTGAGCCCATAGGGAATTCTTAGAAAACGGCCCTCTTGAAATGCAGAATTAATACCTGTGCAGGAGTTAATGCTCCTGTTTCTACAAGTGGTCTCATAATGATCTTTCAGACATAATGTTTAAAGATTGAGCGGTGAGAATAAATGAGGAGGACCCAAGTTCACCTGAACACAACAGTTTTATACTGAAATGTTTTATTCGGGATACTTGGGGAGCACTTCAGATCTGGTTGAATGGAGTGCTGACATCCAGTAACACGTTCCACTAACCTTTGATGCTTTTTTTTTTTTTTTTTTTGCTTGTATCATTGTAATGCTTAGAAACTCCATCTGAGGTGAAGGTCCAATGTGCTTAGTGCCGCACCGATGCCTAAGTAGGAAACCCCCAGCTCTCACCTAGAGATGAGCAGGCAAGGCACAAGAGAAGAGAGGGGTTCACAAAGATGAAATGACTTGCTCAGCATCACATAAATGACTGCCCAAAACTGTAACTGGGACCCTGACTGGATTCACTCTTTACTTCTTACGACATCTTCTAGCCTGCGTGGTATTTTCTGTGGGAGATGGCAGTGATTTGCACCGGGTGTTCCCAGTACTGTTGCTGTCCTGAAAGGCAGTGACTTGCACATGTGTGTGCTGCTCACTGTGCACTCTACTGTTTGGTGTTACCCAAGCAGAGTTCTTTCTTCCCTCAGGTTTCAGTGTAGGCAGTTTGAACACCTGAATTTCACACAAATACAGAGCATTAACAAAGATTCACCCATGGGGTTGAGGGGAAAATGCCTGTACTGCTTTGGGAGAATGTTTTGTTGCGTCTCAGATGTGGGGAGATCTTTGCAGTGATCGTTGAGGTTCTTTACCAGAGGCTGGTTGTCTATAACACTTTTTTTCCAATTCCCTGGATTGTCTTTGCACTGCCTAGAAATACTTAGGTGCCATAGGCAACTTAAGTCTCTGTTAGAGAGAGTTGGGAGACTGATCTGTTGTTAGTGATTTCCTTGACAATATTTTGTCTTGGGTGTTACTGTGCTTTGATGTTTGAGCACTCACTGTCAGTCAACATCTGTCTTTTAATCTCTGATCTTAATGCAGACCCTCCTCCCTCCTCCATGTTGTATTACTTAACTATCTGTTTTTTATTATTATTATACTGGCCAGTAATGATGTACTCTCTGGGGTTTCCAGAATCCATCATGCCATGTTAATAGAGCAACAGTGTTTTAAAGTTAGATTGTGCTCTAATTAAATTCTGATCTGCAGAGGGCTCAATTTCCTCTTGTATCAGTGTTTCTTGTATCTCTAATTTCTGAAAAGAGAAATGGGGAGAGGGTGGTGTGTTTGTGTTCTGTGTGGTTTGGTTACCTCTCCTTTGATATAAAACTGTTTGGTTGTCTGATAACTTTTTCTAACCCCCTTGTATCTGTAGCTCTTGAGAAATCAGTAGGCACTTCTAATGAGACCATCTCCTCTAAGGAAAAGCTTCCCTGGCATATCCACGTGTGCTGTCTTTCTGTAGGATAAACTTGTAGGTTTAAATATAAAGGTCTAAAAATAAAACCTTGTTTTGGAGTCATTTTTCATCAGGTGTGAATTTCCAGTTTTCCTGGAGAAGAGTCCTGCTCTGTGGCTGGTAACAAGGACTCCTCTGAGTTGCTGTTGGTCTGAGCATTGTATTAGCATACTGGGAGTCCTTTCCATTTTAGCTCTTACTTGAGGAAAAAATGTGGAGAAATCAAATTGTCCAAAGAAGATGATGTGAGGAATCATATATTTGTAAACCAGTCAAGTCCCATATTGCCTCTGTGAAATGGAAGCTCAGTGAGCAAAATGCTGAACAGATCTAGTAGCACCAGCATTGGTCCCTATTGAAGTTCAACATCAGATGAGGCAGGAGCTTCACTAGTTGAAAACTGCTCCTGCGCAGTCCGCTTTATCCTGGGGTTTAGATGGAGAGTAAATCGGAACGTGGTGCTGGGCGAGTGTGGCACTCCCTGCTCACAGAGCCGCCAGCCTGTGCGTGTGTGTGAGCTCTCCCGCGAGGCTGGCAGGCAGGACTCCCTGGGCAGCAGGGGTGGGAAGCGCTCTCCCCTGAGGAGCGCACAGCGAAGGAGAAGAGCAGGTGGAAGAAGCTGGCAGACGTAGCTGGGGAACAGCTAGTGCTGTAAGGAGGAAAACCAGCCAAGCTGGGCAGGACAGCACTGATCAGAATAGAGGAAGATCAGAGGGATGCATGTTGAGCCTGCCTTACTGGAGAGTGGAGTTCAGCGTGGAGTGTGGCTGAAGCTATGTTTGGGCAAGAAGACATGTCCTAGAAAAATGGGTAGCATTTGCACATTGGTCTCTGTTTTCTCTCTGTTTCTGAGAGCATAAGGTGAGCCGATTGTGGAGCACCTCCTTGCTTTCCTTGCCTTTTCTGTGCTTCAGAGTGTGGGTGCATCTTTCCTCTCCTGTGCCAGCCCCAATTTCTGTGCAAGGGAGCCCTTCTTCTTCCCATATTATCCAATAAATCACCCCATCTTTCTTTGGCCCTGGGACTGCTACTATGTCCTCCTCCCTACCCTCTCATGATGGTGTCGTGCACACACACATTTGCTTTCTCCAAATGTGAGGAGTTTTGTGCCTACCTCCCCATGTGGCTGGAGAAACTGCTCCTAGCTCCGAGGTAGGAGAGCGCACATCCCACGTCTCGTGCATATATATTCTTCCCTCTTCCCTCTTTCTGTCTGTATGTTTGGCACCTATGTTCTGGCTTTGATGTTTGAATGGATGGGAATCTCTGACGCTGCCCTTTCCCCTGGGTGTGATGGTGTTCTTTAAGAGCAACTTTTCTCCGCTCCTTTTTGCGTGTCCACACGTTTCTGCTGCTGCTTATTCCTAGGGGAGTGTTATTAGCAGGGGGGCCCTTGCTGGCACACTGATGTGTGAATAGTTTCTGTGCTTTTCTTCTCATCTCCTCTCTGCCCTTCTCTTTCCCAGGTGTGTCCAGAAAAGGAAGTCGAGCTCCAGTGTGCATTTGATGGTGAGCACCTCCCGTAAGCTGCCTGCGATTCGTGCGTCCGCCATTCTCATGCCATGCACGCTCGGCTTGTGCTCATCACCCTACATAGCATGTCTGTGCGGGGGGCGGTGGCGGGGACCGTCGCGCACTGAAAGGTCCACGTCCTCACGAAAAGGGCCCTGGGACTGTCTGCCCTGCCAGCCAGCCGCACGGTTCCTGTTTGTACAGAAAACCAGCGGCTGCAAACGCAGTTTGCCGTTGCCTGCTCCCAGTGTCCGATCTGAGTGCGAAACCCAGAGGCAGAGGTTCTCCAGGGCCCAGCAGAGCACCTGTGCGCCCTGCCTGGATGTGGGGCTTTGTCGGTCTGTTGTAGAGGTGCCAACAAGAGGAGCAGGTGCTTTGCTTGGCGTTGGTGCCGTGAGAGCCCTGCAGTGTAGAACCAACTTGGAGTTGCTCCAAAAGTGGCAGAGGCTGATGGGGCTGCACTGTTCACACGGGAGGAGCGGGCACAGCACCGCCGGGCGGCTCAGGGCTGCCGCTCCCTTCTGTTTTAGCATTCTGTCCTAGCAAAGTTTGTCAGAGCCTTTACAATCCCAAACTTGTCCCAGTCTCGTCTGTGTCTCCCAAATGCATGACCAAATACCTGATAACTGCCTTCCCTGTCTTATTTATTTCCTTTTTTTCATCCATCCAGATGTTTGACATTCATAGAATGTGTCAGAAAAGTAGTCAAATCAGTTTTAAGGGAGCAAAGAGAAAATTGGCCAGTGCCATATTGTAAGGAGTCATGTACAGCCCCTCAGATAATGCCTATGTCTGACACTAAGATCTGGACAGTAACTACAAGTGCACTAGTAGCATTGTGGCTCCTGTCTCTGTTAGAAAAAGAAGCTAAAACATTTCTGCCACATGGTAGATAGGAATATTATGGTACTGAGAAAAAATGTTTCTGCATTACAGTCCGGAAAATATGTCCCCCCCCGCTTCCTCCTTCAGTAACATCTTAAGCCCATGTAAGCACAAAAAGCACAGAGTATGGTTTGGAAAATCTGATGTGCGAGACTGGCTTTTCCCTAGACCTGCCTATACCAAAGTCCAGGACAGGAGTGCTTCGTGCCAGTCTTTTCTGCCCACTGCCAGCACCACTCAGGTTCCCTCTGCGTGTTGTTTTAAAGCATCTGGGGTACGTAAACCATGTAAGCGTCAGTCTCGGAAAACAGTGAGGCCATGAAGGTGGCTAAAGACGCAGAGAGAGCCCGTATGATGGTACTTATTTGCTTTTTACTGGCTACAAGTGTGTGTCCTGAACGATATGATCACTGGTCTGTTTTCTTTCTCTTGCACCCTCTGTGTTGTTTGTACCTGTCTGTCTGTCTCTCGTCTAGCTCGGGAAGCACTTCCAACTGCTGTGCCAAAAACAAAACTAATTGTGTTAAATCTTAAAAAGGGCCTGGCACCTTTTTAGGTGAATTGGCTTCTTTCAGCTTGAGCTGAGAACTGCCAAGGATCATGGCCTGTCCAGTGCCTGGGAATGGGAGGGGAAGGAAGGGGGTAAGAGTGTCCCGAGCACTTGGGCTCAGGGAAGGACACTGGGATAGGTGGCCTTGAGACATGGGCGTGTGGGGAGAATCAGGGCATCTGCTGACTGCCATGCCGAGATGGGCTGAGCCTTTCGCCTCCTGTTTATTTGGGACTCTGTCCTAGAGTTAAATATTCCATGAATCTGGAAAGCCAGTGCATAGGTACTCAGTCTGCTCCAGCCTACTGGATGGGGAAGAGTATGATGGATGCAGCTGGGAAAGGAGGCTGTGTGTTTGGGGTAGGTGTGGGTTTATGCTTTGTAAGGTGACATCCCACACCTTAACAAACTGCTGTCGACTTGTTTTCAGAACACAGTGTTTTCCTGGGTGATTTTTCCATTGGATTTTGATTATAAAGCCTTCCAGAAAGTAAACCTTTAGGAAGCAAATCTAAAGTACCGAGTGAAAAAAAATCAGGAGAATTTTTGTATAGCTGCTTTCATACTAACTTTATCTTCATACCCAGTAGACTAAGAAAAATAAGCTGTACTCTTTTCACTGGAAGAGATTTGGAAGATAGATCTCTTTGCCTTAGGATCACTGTTTCCTAAGAGGTACAGGAACCTCAGTGCTGTATGGATGGCTGGATCCAACATTGCCAGAAATTTTGTTATATTTCTACCACAAAATAGCTTGGGATCTGCCTTTTTTTTTTCTCCTTCTTCTTTCCAGTTTGCTGCTGTTCCCTCTTGCATCCATAGTGCGCTCTCAACTCTTCTGCCATCAGGCTGGAAATACATGAAGGAGTCAAGGCTCTTGGAAAGCCAAAGCCTCAGGGACAATGTGAGGTTGTATAGGGAAGGGCAGTAAGCAGCAATTTGTGAAGTGTATTTGTCCTTTCTCAGCTTCGGGACGAGCATGTCATATATTCTTTTCTTCTATGAAC